TCTTCGTTTTTAATTTATGACATCCTGGATTTAACTTGATTGATGATGAAGAAGTTGTTACTGTAGATGCATTTTTTGATGTCATATCATTTGAAAGTACATGGTACTGTCTTTTCTTTGCTAACTTGGAAGTGATATATTTATCGAAACTAATGTTATCTGAATAAAATAAAAATAAATTAGTTAACTAAATAAATAAATATTTACATAATGGATAATAGTATATTTTAAAAACCATAAATAATTACCATTCGTAATGTTAGATAACGGATTTATAACATTTGTAATGTTAGAAAATGGAGTTCTAACATCTGTAAAGGAAGGACAGTATTGTATGGTTGTGTTATGCTTTGCAGGTGTTGTAAATGAATTGACATTTTGAGTTTGACGAACAATGTTGGTTGATTGATCTGCAAATAGAAATAACTTATAAAACTTCTAAATATATGTATTCAACTATATAACAGTAAAAGATGGAATATAAAATACTAATACGGTTATAGTTAATGGTTTTTTTGAAGAGATGCTGTAATGATATACTTGGAACGTTTGATATTGTTTTTATTTTCTTTGATCTTTTATTTTCCAAATATATTTTTCTTTGTCTTTTTTTCTCTTTGGCCTGCATGTGGTACATGTTACTGTTGTTTTCTGCATAAGAAGACATAGGTTAGGAAATGAAATGTGAAATTATGTACATAATATGTTTATATAATACAATTGAAGTTAGTTAGAATTAAATAAATAATAATAATAAAGTAAATGTATTTAAAAAGTTACCTTTATTAATTTGTTTATTAAAATGTTTAACAAAATTTGCAAATATTAATTTACTCTTTTATAATATATTTTTAAAAAATTAGTAAATTGAAGATTTTAAAAAGTTACCTGATATCAATTATTTCCCTGATGAGCATCATGACTCATCATCCTCATTTCCAACCTAGGGTTTATTCGATTTAAATCTATTGTTTCCCCAATTTCAACCAATCGTGGGTTCGGATGATATCAGGGGTTAAAACCCTAGATCTCCATGGAATCAATGAAGGTAAAATTGTGTGATACACGATAATCGTGATGATTATAAATTGCTTATTGATCTTATGTATCTATTCAAGATTATTTTTTTACAATTAGAAAAACATCTATTCCAGCATATTGATTATTGTTGTAAATTTCAACCATAAATTCATAGAGAAAACAAAGTGATCTAAACTGATAATACTAACCTGACATATGGATATGGAAATCTTGCAGGTAGAACTGGAATGAGGATTACAACTTTAATGAAGCAGTTTGATGTAAGCTTAATGAAAAAAAAATCGCAGAAACAATTGAACATTAAGAAGACGAATGAGGTGTTTCAAAATTTTGGATTTCACGTTTTGAGGTAAAGTTATATGCTTGAATATTGGAAAAAGATTACGATTATATGATTTTATTGTTGTTGGATCTTTATTAGATATAATTTTCTTCCTGATTTTTTGGAATTTAAAAGATTACAACTAAAAATTAGTTTAATATTCAAATTTCATCTAAAAAGGGAGTATAGAATATTAGGAAATAGTTGGTTGAATATAGGTTATTTACAGAAGATAAGTAAATATGCTGCAACCATTACAAAAATGTATGAATTAATTTTAGAGAATCAAAGATATAAATTTTGTTTACATTTTATTATTCACAATACATAAGTAGCAGATTTTATTATTCAGAATACATAAATAGCAATATACTTAGTTTTCGACTTTTGAGTCCAAAGATGTATGATTCGAACTTTAATTGTGAAATCATCCTTGATTGAGTCAATTTCCTTTATAGGAGTAATATGTTCCATTGTACCTTGCAATTAAAAAATAATTGTTTTGTTAACAAAAATGTTAAAATATAAAAAGAAAAATCGAAAGCCATTGATTTATTTATTTATTTATTTGTCTTAATTGTTAATTGGCATTTATCAAAACATTTTCAAGTTAGGGGCAATATGGTCGTTTTGGAGTAAACGAAGTGGAAAAGGGTAACATGACAGTTATAAAAAATAAAAAACTATATCATAGACTATAGTAGAAGTTTTATTATTCAAAATACATAAAAAAAAAAAGTAGAAATAGCAATACACATTGAATTTTTTGTTATTCAGAATACATAAATAGCAGAATACATAAAAAACCAAATAGATTGATTGATTATTATAGGTCAGATTTTATTATTCAGAATACATAAATAGCAGATTTTATTATTCAGAATACATAAATAGCAGAATTTTATTATACAAATTGATTGATTGATTTATTTGTCTTAATTCTTAACTGCGATATATCAAATACTTATCAAGTTAAGGGCAATATGGTCTTTTTGAAGTAAAAGAAATGGAAAAGAGTAAGATGACAGTTATAAAAAATAAAAAAGTATATCATACACTATAGTAGAAATTTTTTTATTCAGAATACATAAAAAAAAAAAGTAGAAATAGCAATATACATTCAGTTATTTGTTTTCAAATTAAGGGCATAGATTGATTGATATAGCAGATTTATTATTCAGAATACATAAATAGCAGATTTTATTATTCAGAATACATATATAGTAGAATTTTTATTATACAAATTGATTGATTTATTTATCTGTCTTAATTGTTAACTGCGATATATCAAATACTTATCAAGTTAGGGGCAATATGGTCTTTACATATATAGCAATATTTTTATTATACAAATTGATTGATTGATTGATTTGTCTTAATTGTTAATTGCGATATATCAAGCAGATGAAGTAAGATCGATTGTTTTGAAATGCGATGTCAAATCTGTTGAAGGGTGTAATGATTATTGTTTTCGAATGGTATGTGTTCGATTGGTTATTGGGTTTGTATACAGGGATCGATTTTAAACGGAGGTTAAAGATTGTGGGAACGAATAACTGTTAAATTCGATGTTTTCTGGAACGAAGCCTTGGTTATTAAATGAATCATACGAAGGATCTGTTATTTGATTTTGGAATTGGGGCGAATAATCGAACGATTTGGAGTTGCGAATTTGATTTTGAAAAGCCAATCAGTTGGGTTCGCATATGAAAACAGATAAGTTTTGATTTTGGATTCGCAATTGGGTTAATTGGGTTATTGATTGAGGGACGATTCGTGAAGAAAAATGCGAAGTCAAGAAGGACTGTGAAATGTGATTTGTTCAATATTGGAGTCAAATGCAGTTCACGTGTAAAAGCAAAAATGTTCGCATTTGGTAATACAAATCAAAATTGGGTTTCGCATATGAGGTTGTATGGATTGGGGTTAAAGATGCGAAGGTGATTATGGTTAATATTCATTTCGCATTTGGTGAGACAAACAACTCAAATGCGAATGAACTAAAAAAAAATGACTGGAACATGCGAAGAAAGAGGGTGAATAAAGAATGCGAATTTTATTATTCATTCACCCTCTTTCTTCACCCTCTTTCTTCGCAGTTAAGAATGATTTTATAAATAGCAGATTTTATTATTCAGAATACATAAATAGCAGAATTTTATTATACAAATTGATTGATTGATTTATTTGTCTTAATTCTTAACTGCGATATATCAAATACTTATCAAGTTAAGGGCAATATGGTCTTTTTGAAGTAAAAGAAATGGAAAAGAGTAAGATGACAGTTATAAAAAATAAAAAAGTATATCATACACTATAGTAGAAATTTTTTTATTCAGAATACATAAAAAAAAAGTAGAAATAGCAATATACATTCAGTTATTTGTTTTCAAATTAAGGGCATAGATTGATTGATATAGCAGATTTATTATTCAGAATACATAAATAGCAGATATTATTATTCAGAATACATATATAGTAGAATTTTTATTATACAAATTGATTGATTTATTTATCTGTCTTAATTGTTAACTGCGATATATCAAATACTTATCAAGTTAGGGGCAATATGGTCTTTACATATATAGCAATATTTTTATTATACAAATTGATTGATTGATTGATTTGTCTTAATTGTTAATTGCGATATATCAAGCAGATGAAGTAAGATCGATTGTTTTGAAATGCGATGTCAAATCTGTTGAAGGGTGTAATGATTATTGTTTTCGAATGGTATGTGTTCGATTGGTTATTGGGTTTGTATACAGGGATCGATTTTAAACGGAGGTTAAAGATTGTGGGAACGAATAACTGTTAAATTCGATGTTTTCTGGAACGAAGCCTTGGTTATTAAATGAATCATACGAAGGATCTGTTATTTGATTTTGGAATTGGGGCGAATAATCGAACGATTTGGAGTTGCGAATTTGATTTTGAAAAGCCAATCAGTTGGGTTCGCATATGAAAACAGATAAGTTTTGATTTTGGATTCGCAATTGGGTTAATTGGGTTATTGATTGAGGGACGATTCGTGAAGAAAAATGCGAAGTCAAGAAGGACTGTGAAATGTGATTTGTTCAATATTGGAGTCAAATGCAGTTCACGTGTAAAAGCAAAAATGTTCGCATTTGGTAATACAAATCAAAATTGGGTTTCGCATATGAGGTTGTATGGATTGGGTTAAAGATGCGAAGGTGATTATGGTTAATATTCATTTCGCATTTGGTGAGACAAACAACTCAAATGCGAATGAACTAAAAAAAAATGACTGGAACATGCGAAGAAAGAGGGTGAATGAAGAATGCGAATTTTACAGTAGAATGCGAATTGGGGAAGAAAGCTAAGAATTTCGCATTTTTATTATACAAATTGATTGATTGATTGATTTGTCTTAATTGTTAATTGCGATATATGAAATACTTATCAAGTTAGGGGCAATATATTTTATTTGAGTTATAACCAAAATCAACTAACTTGTCCAATTTAAAACAATAAAAGTATCCAAAAATATTCAAAACCAATAATATTTGACATCCTAAATACCCCAAAATAAAAATCATACCAAGCAATTAAAATATCTTTATAACCAAAACAAATGATCAAAATATATTAAATGTGTCTTATAACCGATAGAAACTCACTTTTCAATTTTTGGAATCAAGAGTGGAGTTTCCTCTGCGGTTGACTTTCTTTTAGCCTTAGTTGAACTTAAATCATATCCAGAATCAACATCATAAATTTCTTGGAGGTTGCGCTTCAAATCACCTGATATTTTGCAAGGACTTGTTGCGGTTGACTTATCAACTGTTGAGGGTGTAAAACTTTCGTCTGTTTGTGAGATCACATCCTAATTTAAAAAAAAAATGTTTGATTCCTAAAAAAAATAACTAATATAATTAAAAGTTTATAAAATAAAATGAAAAACCTTTTGAACAGGCTGTACAACATCATCGGATTCCAAAGCAACTTGATTTAAGGAGACAGATTGAATACTCTAAAAAATAAAATGGAAATATGTTAATCGTTATGTACTTTAACATTAAAGAATTGTAAATTTTCAACAATAAAAAATTACATACCATAAGTTCTATTTTACTTTCCAATTCACAAACAATGGACATATCTTCTGTAACTCTGAGAACTGTGTAGATGTTATTATAGTTGTTGACATTGTATTCTGTAATATCTACAACAAAACCAAACTTGCGGTTTTTCAACACGTTAAGTTGCATTGGAAATAGGGCATCACTGTCTCCGGCCTGTAAGATATATTTTAATAAATTAAAAAAATTAAGTAAATGTTTTCTGATTTTAAAGGTATGAATAATATACCGCATCATGTATCTTTTTCAACTCGTAGGCACTTATATTTAACAACCTCCTTGCTTCCCTATCAAAAAGAGTCAATCCAATGGTTCCAGTACAATCTTGTACGTTAATTGGAATTATATACCTAAAACAAAAAATAATTATGTCATTGTTAGTGTTGTTTTAAGATTGACAAAATTAATAGAAATAAATATGTCTATACTTTATAACTGACTGAAATTAAGATTTTTTGCATTGTGCATTTGTACACTCGACAACCATAGTTTCTGAAATTTCCTCAGGGTTGGTATACGAATGATTGGTTTTGGGAACAGGGATAATTTTTTTTCCACATTTTTTGCATGCTTCATAATACCATGGTAGATTCTGCCTTATATTAACAATGGAAGCAACTAATAAAAACTTCATTTCCTGTATCATATCAAATGTAAAAATTATTAAAATAAATTATGCAAAAATAAAATGTAAAACATATAAAATAATGCAATATACCTTAATTGGTTCGGTGATCTCATAGATTGCTTTTAATGGAAAATTGCCCTTAAAGTCATCTGTATATGAAGAAGAGTAGCTTTGAAGTGTAATGCTTTTTTCAGTTATACTAAAATTGTCATGACATTTCAACCTGTAATGTTTAATTTAAATTCATGAATATTAGGTTTTGTGTTTTTTTTAAGTTAAAATACATTATAAAAAAATAAAAAACAATTGGAAACTAACTTATTTTTAAACTCATTTATTTCATAAATGTCAGAATTTATGAACAATTTCGTTACTTCAAAATGACTTTTAGCTTCACCAAGACCTGTAAAAAATGTATATCCAATTATTAAAATTTATATAAAAACAGTAATTATAAACATCTATATATAAAGACTGAATACAAACCATTCCAAATGTTTAGCTTCAAAAACTGCATCACGATAACAACAAAATTAACAGTCGGGTTATTTTTTAGGTATTCTGAAATTTGATATGCTTGACTTCCAAAAATAGTAACCTTCAGATGTACAGAACTAAATAAACCATAAAATAGTATATTAATATTAATTTGTGATTAATTAAAGATAATAAATAATAAATAAATAATACAATATAATCTCACTCTAGGTTGCTAAGAGTGACTTTTATATAATGCTTGGATGGTACTGGATTTGAAGTTTCAAGAAGCCTAAATGACACGATATGTCCAATAACATCTACACAACAGATACCACAAAAAAATAAAAGTTTAGGATTAAATTCGTAATTTTTAAATAATAAAATGTATAACCAAAAAAACAAATGATAAAAAATGATTTTATTAATATTTTATGACTAACCAAAGAATGTGTCTTTTGGGCATGTTTGTTCTATGATAGAATTAAAGTCAACAAACATAAATCCATTGACCGGACCCGAGAAATCATCACATTTTTTTAGGATGCTTTTCCAATCCAAAGTTAAGGTCTGTTTATGACTTGTATAACTAAAACCATTAGTAACAGCAGCCATATTGGGTTTTATAACTATATAACTTTCATCTTCCTTTAAAAGATGACAAAATCTGGAGAAATTCTGATTGAAGACACGAGCTTGGTATTGTGTACCCTGTTTAAAAAAAAATTAAAAATTATTATGTTCATGAAACATGTCTAATATTGAATGATGAATAAAAAATATATCAAATACAACAAACCTCCTCATCCATGATGATCATTTCAATGGAACAAACTTTATTATTTCTGACAAAGTTCCAAATTTTAAGCACCCGAACCTTGATATGCGATTTTTCATCTATCTGGTCAATGTTATTTAGGTAAACCTTATTTCCTATTTCCATTTTCTGCAATAAATTTAATCATTATAGAATTATAAGGAAAATTAGCAACCTTTTAAAATGTACAGAACATCCTAACCAATAAGTAAAACAGAAAAATTATAAATCAATACATGACAATAACAACTGACTTAATGTACTCATAAATTTTTAAATTGAATAATTCATTTTATAATAAAATGGAATACAAACAAAAACAAATAATTCATATGAAATAATGTTTTAGATTGAATAAAAGTTTATATAATAAGATGGAACACAAATATATAATAAACATGAAAACTATAATTATACCGAAAATGCCCCTGCAACATACTAACACTAACAGATAACATAACAATGAGTAAAACAGAAAAATTAAAAATCAACACATGACAATAACAACTGACTTAATGTACTCATAAATTTTAAAATTCTAAATTTTTTTGAGATTGTATTTAGATAAAAACAAACAAATTTTAAAATTTCATACCATAAAAAAAAGTTACTGTGCACATCTGAAAAAGACTATTTTTAATTTTTTTTAAAGAAAATGAACTTGTAATGTTCATTAGTTTTTCGTCTTTTAAACTGAAAAGGTAGAAGAAATAGACGATTAAGAAGAATTACAAAAAAGAAGAAGAATAGAAATCATACAATGAGAACGTGATAGATACAGATAAATAAGAACATGGAGGAAATAGAAATATTGGTAATTCTGATTTTTGAATACACTAACCTGATATTTAATTCTTGAAGCGTTGCAGAATAACAAAGAATGAAGAAGAATACGTTTGCTGTGGTTTCTATGGAGCAGAATTGTTATGGAGCAGAATGGTAAAAACAAAATAACCGTATAAATGATATTTACGTTTGCTGAAAAATACTGCAGATTTTTAGGGATTTAATGATTGCAATATATTGAATTTGCAATCAAAATAAACAAACTTTCAAATTTAATCGTGATTTTCGAATCTGATTATTCATTAACATATTTTTTCAAATTATTTCCATAATCTTTATTCATTTAAAATTAATGCATGAATATTTTGAATGCAGTTGACAGCTAAAATTTCCTGATATATTGCATCAGTTTGAACTTTTATTCAATTTTCGGATTCAATGGCATTTACGTAAATATAAAAGAAAAAATGAGCGGGAAAACTCTATTTTGGGGGGCTGGGAGAATGCCACGTGGCCGAGTTCTACTTATTTATTAGAATTAGGATTGTTATTTAGGCATTAATCATAAATTAATAATCACGAGTTAAAATGTGATTTTGAAAAAATTAACAAAAGAAAAGAAGAATTTTTTTTTTAGCAAAAATAACCATTGGGTTCAAATAGGTTTAGGAAAAAAAACATTTTATGCTGATAAAAAAATACATTTTGGGACATTTCTTATTTCGGACTAAAATTTCAAATCTAATAAAAAGTTAAACAAACATAGTAAATATGAATTATACACGGTATTTAGCATAAAATCATATATTTTATTAAAAAACGGTAACATAAAACATTTTAAAATAGACATTTTAGTTAAAAATATATTTTGAAAAAAAAAATCTCTTAATTATTATCAGTTGTCCAGAATGTAGCATTCCGAAAAAAAGATGGTTATTTTTCAAAAACAAAAAAATAGTGGGTTTTTTTCTAAAAAAACTTATTTATAATAGTTAGATTACTCATATTCCTCATATTATATATCTTTTTGTAATTTTCTTCTAATGTGTTTCTGTACTTTCCATATCCTTTTTATTTATTATTTTTTTACGGTATTTTGTTTTCTACATTTTCAATGTAAAAAATAAATACTTATAGGAAATAAGGGTAATCACAATGGAGAAAAGATGTATGCGTGATATTACAAAATACTCGTATTTAGTAACTTTGGCTGTGTTTGGCGCGCTGCGGCTAGCTGATAAGCCAAAAAGTAGCTTATAAGCTAGCGTTTTGAAAAGCTACTTAGACTAGCTTTTTAGAAGCTTTTTTAAAATTTTCCAAATACACCCCTTAATTAATTATAGAAACACATATTCTTACATATCCTTTTATGTAATTATATATATTTCAGCTAGCTTTTCAGCTAGTTTTACCAAACGTTATTTTTTATCAGCTAGCTTTTTATTTAACAGCTAGCTTTTCAGCCATCAGCTAGCTTTTCAGCTAACAGTTAGCTTTTCAGCTAGTCCGACAAACATAACCTTTATCGCAAAATGACAACATATTTTGCAAATGGGAATTTGTTGTCTCATGTGGACACCATGTTCAAGTATATGCATTGCCATAAAACGATCTGGTATATTGGCATTTTATGACACAATGGCCAATGAGGCACACATTGGTCCCCAACTGAACTACACTCTAATGGTATCCTCAAACAATAATCAATTTGATTGCTCAACATTGAGCTCCCTCACTCTTTTCTTATCTAATCTCCCTTAATCACATATTCATTTATTTTAAATCCTTTAAATTATGCTTCAGTTGATATTATCATTTCAATTTCCTCTATTGAATCAGTAATATATATACTTGTCAATGACTAAACTTCTTTTAATATCTCTTAAATGTTATGTCTATTTATTGAATAGATACCTTTTCGAATGGATAGTCAATTGTTGGCGTTAAGATTTATTTTGAATTTGACATTATATTGGATTATTTCGGCGATGATTACCCAATATAATTATTTTTGTATTTAGTAGGCAATAAATTAGGAATATAATCCTTTGTATAAGAGAAATTAAATATCTTCCTACCATTTGTTCCTACTTTTCCTCCTACCATATCAAATGTTGACATGTGTCACATTTAATTAGACATTTAATGAAATTAATAATCATTTAATCCACTTGTCAACATTTAATATGGTAGGAGGAAAAATATGAACAAATGGTAGGAGGATATTTAATTTCTTTTTGTATAATTCAAATTCCTTTGATAGTCATCCACCTTTTATATATATATATATATATATATATATATATATATATATATATATATATATATATATATATATATATATATATATTACGTCCTGTTCCGAATCGTTTACTATGTAGGGGTGGTGACTTGAAGACCGAGTATCATCAGACTTAGGGCATTTGAGAAAAAAAAAGATTTAGACTCATTTGATGTGGGTAGTGTAATTTGGATGATCCGGGAGTTTGGTCTGTGTTTTGGCGCCAAGGGGTATTTTGGTAAAGTGTCAGTTCGGGCTTTTATGAATTTTGAATTTTTGTTCAAAAACTTTTAAGGCAAGGACGAGTTAATAAAAGTGTAAAGTTTCTCGTTGCCTTTCCATGGATATAAAGAACGTCAAAATCGGAGTTAGAACGAAGAAGATATGCCCTTTTGAAGTTTGGTCGGTTTCGGGATGTACTGAGTACACTTGGCGTACAGAGGAGAGTATGTTGGGCGTACTGAGGCACCGTGAGTATGTGACATCCCCAAATTCACGGTCATTTAAAAAAAATTATTTATGCTTATTTAAAAATCATAGTACCCTTTTTGAAAAGTAGTATTACGGAATTTATTCCCATAAAACATGATAAATATATTATCAAAGTGTAATAGTGTGAAATTAAAACCTTTTTTTTCAATTTAAAAAACACATTTGTCTCAATAAATACAAAATGTCACAATGTCAAATCATCATATCCCATATCAAAATTTGTTTATATTTCAACACTTCATGATCCTCTAAATCACAACTCAATCGCTGATGTGTGTACAATCAGGCCGGCGCCTCCTGTGATCCGTAGAAGTACCTGAAACACATAACACATAACACAGTAAACATAAATCTTAATAAGTTCCCTAAAATACCACACATATCACATTAACCACTCAAGGCTAACTCAATACGACCCTCTGGTCAATGTGTTCCAGTGGAGACCCTCCGGTCCCACTACTCGGGAAGACCCTCCGACCCTAACTTAATAAGTTCACAACAATAAGCATAAATCACAAGAACAACATGCAAAGTAGCACGATAACACAAATAAGCACATAAGGCATCTCAGTCACAAAAGGATACCACTCATGGTAAGTATAGTGATAAGACTCACCTTGCAAGCTAGTAAGTACAAGTCTCGTGCTCGGAAATCTTGAACTAGCCTCCTCCTAATACATAGGATAACCATCTCTAGTTAATACTCTATTCGTACTCAATTTCACTAAGGTTATTCTTTACTTCTCTCAAATTCTTGGAATAGGTAAAATATCATTTTACCTCTCCATGGTCCCCATTACTCATGTTGACCAACCCTAAAGTCAATAGAAGCCAAACTCTAGCCAATAATCCAAGTTTGACCTGACTCGTCGAGTGCTCTCGTGTGACTCGTCGAGTCCAGTCGTACCTCAGAAGCTTCGTGAAAGTCTAGCTCGTCGAGTTAACCCCTAACTCGTCGAGTTATAACATGGCCAGCTCACCGGGACAAACCATAATCGGCTTATCGAGTCAGCTCCTCGACTCGGCGAGTCCATTTAGACTCTTTTCTCATTTAGATGATTCCAAGGCAGAAAACCTTCCCAAACTCTAGATCTACACTCTTGAGGCTCGTTTATCACATAAAGCCACAAGCTTTACATTCATGCATTGCACTTAGGGCTTGAAATGCCAAAAACATACTTTACAGAGGGTTTTTTTTCACTCAAGAGCATTATTATGGTTGAATAAATCAGGGACTTTTGGACTCTAGGGACCTCACATGGTCCAGATCTGAAGTCCAAACCTCTATATGAACTCAAAACACTCAAGGTCCTTATATTAGATGGATAAAAAGCCCTAAACTCCCAAAATCATGAGATTTATTCAACAAAACAAGAAAGGTGCAAGCTTTATACCTTTCCTAGGAGCTCTAAGGTGAAATAACCATGGATCTAACAACTCCTTCTCTTCCCTTGGATTGGAATCATTCCTTTCTCTTCAAAAGATGCAACAAACAATCAAAGTTAGTTCAAAACTCTCTCTCTAAGCTCAATGGCCGATTAGGGTTTACTCTCAGTGAAGGTGAGCCGCAAATGAGGCTATAAGTGCCCTTAAATAGGCCCCAAACTCAGGGATTTAGGGTTTTTCTTCACGACGTCTACTCAGCGAGTCGGCTCTTTGGACTCGTCGAGTAGATCATTAATCCACGTGGCATATCACAACCATACTCAATGAGTTGTAGCACCAACTCGTCGAGTCGCTTAATAGTCCTTCCCAAAACATAAATAAACAATATACCTGGAAGTCTGAATGTTACACAAAGCATTTTCCGCAGAAATGTATTTTGTTTATATTAAAACTTTGGGATGTCATTTTCAATACAGAAACATATGCATAAACAGACCTTACATTCATTTATACTAGTGATTTACATCTCCTTTAATCTCTTAGTGTAATGTGTCTTCGTATCGATACCTGTGACACAAATAAATTGAGTGGGTAAGGTTGGGAAACGTATTGAGTACACAGGGTTTTCAACCCACAATAATATAGTTAATTTGTTTCTTCACATAACTCATGTCAAAAAAATAAACCTGATTATCTATCCCCATTTTCTTCATTTAATCTTCCCTAAAGATTTACCCTAAGGGTCATCTCCTACATCGTATTTACCTATCACCTCCTTACATCACATTTCCTTATATGTTTACCTAAAGATTTCCTAGATTGCTCGACGGCTGCGAGAAGAAGAGCTTTTCGGCTCGGGAACGCTGCTCCAAGCAAAGCCCGATTTTCTATAAAACCCGTTGTAAGTGAGCTACGCCTACGCTATTTTTAATATAACTTTTATTTAATTATAGTAATGTTATTAAGAACTATATAACACCCCAAAAATACGAGCCAAAAATTTCATTTTTTAAAAACATATACTTAGCAAAACATTCGAA